ACATACATACATACATACATACATACATACATACATACATACATACATACATACACACATACATACACACATGCATACACACATGCATAATCATGAAATTGTGAAACACAAAAACATATATGCTAAGGCTTGCATACGCAGAGAACAGCTTATATCTTTATGTGTACATAAATTTAATATTTGAATGTGGCGATGTGTGCGTTCTGTTATAAAATACCAAAGGTTTATATACGACCACACATCAAATAATCATCTACACGCGTTAATGCTAAAATAATGAGCCATTATTATTTGACTATTATATAAACACTTGGCGTTTTAGTATCTGTTAAGGCTTTCTAATGACCTCTACACATATAAGCTGATTAGAACTTTTTTTGTTTTTTTTTTTTTTTTATTCACCACACACAAATATTTGTAACGTAAAGAAAAATGATTGAAAACGCCACAAATTAAATGTATATTCTCTCTTCATCTGTCCATCTAATTATTTGCCCATTGCACTAACGATTATAAGCTTTATTTAGTATATGTTTGTTGTTGTTGTTGCTGCCATCCAGCTAAGTTGAAAAATTAACAAGATCTACTTCTGGGCGCACTCGCGACGGCAAAGAGACTCAGTATGCGTAAGCCTTAAACTCTAAACTCTATATAACGATTTGTAATATTAAGCATGATGTCGAACGTTGCAGAACGTCTGTACAGATACCCTTGACAATGTAGGCTCAAATAAAAAGACAGTTCTTGTAAAAATAGATCAAATGTAACAAAATTGTTTACCTAATTTATTACTTTTTAATTTATTATAATTCGAATTTCGAAGATTCCTTCCCACTCAGCTTTGTCCAGTCCATTCTAATCTCCAAGTCTCTTCTTTTTTTTTTTTTTTTCTTTGATGCCCTTATTAGTTGGATTGTTAAGAAAAAACTAATCCTTCATATCGTTGGATGCCCTATATTTAGTTTCAAATTAACATACGTAGCTTGCTCGCAGCCCATTTAATTGGATACCAAGGCAGGGCGATGATTAGAAAAAGACAGTCCACCAATATTCAGCAGTCACTATTTTGAATACACAGAGTGACTGCACCTCATTACATTTTCATTGTAACTGAAGGTCAGCGCTATATTTCAGCATAACTGGATATGTGGAAGAAGGGCTTCACTTAAATAGAAGCCCATAGAATCCGTCACACGAATAAGACGCTCCAAAATAAATAACCGTATTAAGTGAAATAATGTAGGGTATTTAATAGTGGATCATGGCCTACTATGATGTTTTTAGTTGTTTTTATTTAAGCAAAGCTACGCATAGTTCGCTTTTTCAAATTATTTATATAAAATTATAAACCGTTTCTCTGAAGCGCTTTCTTAATAATCATTGGCTTCAGCTGCCTCCTTTCTACCCCGATGCCATATAACAATAATTCTACTTTTTTTTTCAAAGTATCATGAAGTTTTCGGTTGATTGTAGTTTCTTAAAAAAATAATTTTAAGACAAAATATGATCAGAACTAAAAATTATTTCTCGAAAGATTGATTTCATGGCCTTAGGCTTATAATTTTCTTATTACCAACTTTAGAACACACTTTGCATATATAACTTAATAAAGCGGATAAGAAGGAGATAAGGATAAGTTTTGCTAATGGATTATTTTCTTTACAGTAGTCCTGAACGATTTTGCTAACTGAGAAACAATCTTCTATTTATATATTAAATAATTAAAATATTTTACTTTGTAAAGGCTTTGGTTTACATTCGTTTTAGATTTATGCATCCATGAATATAGGCGTAGACTAATTGGGCAAACACCGAGGAGAAGGCAGGTCAGTATCTATCGATTTTCTTGAAATGATTCCTTGCACTAGTGCAAGCAAGAAACCCTACGGGCGGGAAAAAGTGGATCCCACAGGAAAGACTGATGTGATGTCGTTCACTGGCAG